AACAATTAAAACTACAATATTCAACAGTGACAGAATTTTAGAACACCTACTACAAAAATTGATTGATTGATGAACCGAGAGTACCTTCATTTTAAGCAGAAGTACAGACACCTGTCAGTCTGCTAAAAAAATTTTAAATTTCGTTAATTTATAACGAAATAATCTCTAATAATAAATAAGAAGTACCTTATAATAAACGCGTTAAGCGCGGTTTAATCAATGGTATTGGAACAATATGGTAATCTATAAGTGGAAATTTAGACACATCCGACGGCAAATACTTTAATAATAATAATACGTAATAGATGTATAAATAGGATAAACACTGGTAAAGCTCAAATTAAAAAACTCGTAAAAAAATAAAATATCTTTTACCCCTTCAGTCATAAAAACCTAAATAAGGGGAGTAAGGCCTCTTTAAGGTTCCCGGTTAAAAATTATCTTCTTCTTCGTGCGACTAGGATTACTTCTGTTTGTCTGCCTCTTATTCTATTTCAGTCGTTGTTGACTGTACATTATCTTTCCACCTTTTTGGCGGCTTTCCAACCGGTCTTCTACTATATGGTTTGTTATTTTTACAGATGTTCGCTAATATATCTGGTCCCATTCGGTATACATGTTCGTTCCAGTTTGTTTTCTTGTTTTTATCCACCTGTTAATATTTTGAATTTTGCATTGTTCGCGTGTACTTCTGTTGGTTTGTCTGCCTCTTAATGATATGCCCGCTATTGATCTTAATACTTTTATTTCGATATTTTTGATTTGTTGTTTCGTCTTTCTTGTATCGGTCCTTGTCCCGCTGCATATGTTAGGATTGTTCTTACTGTTGTCTTGTATACTTTCATTTTGCTTTCCATGGTCAGATATTTTTTTCTCCAGTTAAAAATTATACAAAAGCATATTAAAATATTTAAACGGCCTACTTTACAAATACAACATTTGAAAACAATTTAGAAAATTTCTTTTCACTATATCCCATTTAAGATTTTATTTTTTTTTAAATGTTAGAAATGTTTTGATCATCCCTTAAATTCTCAATATCACATATTTTTCTCTCCACTAATCTGGCTTTACGTATTTTTTTACAGAGTTCCTCTTATCTGTTTTCTAAAAGGGAAGGTACTGAATACTTTTTCAAAAATGTTCTACACTTGCTGACCTTTTCTGATAATTCTGTTACGAAATTATTTTCAAAATTGTTATTAGTAACATGCACAGAACAAGCACATTGAATTTGTCAGACCGACGATTAATTTTAAGGTGAAAATAGGGGGTCTTCTATAGTATGTGAAATATAAAAAAATGGCACACCTCAAGGCTCAGTAATCAGCCCGATACTTTTCTTTGTAGCTATTAACAATTTAATAAAATCAATGAATAAACACGTTTAAGCAAGATTATAGCAAATGATATTATAATATTTTAAAAGAAAAACAACATAAAGAGCTTGGCCAAATTACTACAAGATCAACTCGATAAATTTATACCTAAACCTATACCTATGGTCTAAAAGGAGTAGTTTTCCATTTGTTTCATCTAACTCACTGACGCACTCGCGGCATCACATGCAGAGACCAAAGCAGATAAAGGAAATACCTACTTTAAAAGTTGGGGATTAGACAAACGAATATGAAAAATACTCTCTTAAAATCTCTTTCTGGTACGAACTGGAAAGCGGACGGTAGAACTATACTCACATTTTATAAAAATCTGATCCGCTCCAAGATTGATTATGGATACCATGGTGACTCGTCTGTTTCAACAATAACTCTAGAAGTTTTAGAGATTATTTTAAATAACGGTTTTATATTACTATGAATTAAACCTTTATATTCCCGAAATATATCCTCGTAGGATGCCAGCTCCCCTTACTAGGCTAATATATTCTCATATAAATTTGGATCTATTGTCAGAAAATAAGACAGAAACCAACCGTCATCTAATTAGTTTTAATTATCAAATCTTAATTTTTTAATTTTCCTCCTATAAACAGTTACTTATCAATGGATCTAAGGCGGAACATTAAAGCTATACAGTGCTAATCAAAAGTCCGTTACCCCCTCGTATCTTTTGAACGGTTATTGGTATAATAGTGAAATTTGGAGGAAGGTAATAAACAGACGTATGCTTCTCAACTAGTCATAACAGATGACGTAATAGTGACAGATGACGTAACAGCGCCACTGTGACAGATAATTTTAAATGGGACCTTATGGCAAGTGATACATCGTTTGAAAGGTATTGAAAATATCTATTCAGTTATAGTAATTTTGTTTGAGTTTAAGCTAATTTAGATGAATAAATTAAATAAATACTAAAATTGTAGCTTCTCATTTAATTGATAAATATTTAATAACCAGTTCTTCTAGTAAGTGTTCAAAATGTGCTCCATCTACTTCCTGACAGTAATGCTTCCTATTTCTAAACTCTTGCCGTACTCGTTCAAATGTGTCGGGGGAAATTGCCCTACATTCTTAAACAATTCGTTCTTTGAAAATGTCAATATTGTCGGTTGCTGTAGCGTAAACTTTAGATTTTAAGTATCCCAACAGAAAAAAAATCTAATGGTGTGAGGTCCGGTGACCGAGCTGGCCATTCTTTCGTACTTCGTCGTCCAATCCATCTACCACGATATTCCTCATCTAGGTAACGTCTTACTGCACCATAATGGTGTGCAGGGGCACCATCTTGTTGAAACGTTATTTCCAAGTTACCGAATTCATCTGGATTATCTTCCAGAATTTCAAGTATTAATGGTTCAATTGCATTTTGTAACATCTCTAGATACACTTCACCGGTTAAATTAGTATTGCTAAAAACAGGCCCAACTATGTGGTTTCCCAAAATACCTGCCCAAACATTTATTTTTTTTTTTAAATTCAGTATGTGTTTCACGAAAGACGTGAGGATATGTGTCACTCCCAATACCTCACATTGTGTGTGTTTTAACATTTTCATTGAGAGAAAAAGTACTTTTGTCACTAAAACAAATTGTTTTTATGTAATTGAGCTGTTGGTTAATTTTATTAGACATATTTTCACAGAATTCTAGTCTTCGGTTGGGGTCATCATCTGAAAGTTGGTGCACAATGTTTAATTTGTATGGATGAAATTTGTTTTGAGCCAACACTCAGTGTACTTTGACTTTTGAATAATTCAATTTTTTTGTCATCACTAATTGTTGTTCGACCAGATCGTTTGATATCTTGAACACTACCTGTTTGTTTAAACTTCCGAAGAAGCTTTCTCAAATAAGATCTCGATATAGGCCGATCGGGGTACCTCTCATTAAAAAGACGTTCCGCTACATGGAAATTATTTTCACATTCACCAATTATCACAGCTGCTATTTTGTCGGCTGCAGTACGTACCATTCTGCCTTTGTAAAAATTTAAACGTCTCGTTAAACAATAATTAAACTAAATATTAACTAAGAACAACTAACTAAAAACAACTTTACAGTAGAAACAACAAGTAGAAACAGAAACTAAATATTGGACTATAAACGCTTTTGCAAACTAAAATCAACTACAGAATTGACAAACGTCAACTGTTTTTGCCAAATAACTAAAGGCTGACGATTAAATGCCAAATTAGAATTTTAGTATTTATTTAATTTATTCGTCAAAAGCATCTTAAATCCAAACAAAATTAGGATGATTGATTAGGTATATTAAAATAATTGTAGTTTTGCATTTAATCAATAAATATTCTAATGTTCGCCTTTTGCTAATTGTCAAAAAAGTTGACGTTGACGTAAAAACAATTAGAGAATTGAAAAACGTCAACTTTTTGACAAGTAACCAGAGGCAGAGGTTTTAATATTTATTAATTAAATGCGAAACTACAATTTTAGTATTTATTTAATTTATTTCTCAAAATGAGCTTAAACTCAAATAAAATTATTATGACTGAATAGGTATTTTCAATGCCTTTCAAACGAGGTATCACTTGCCATAAGGTCCCATTTAAAATTATCTGTCACAGTGGCGCTGTAACGTCATCTGTCACTATTACGTCCCCTGTTATGACTAGTTGAGAAGCCTACGTCTGTTTATTACCTCCCTCCAAATTTCACTATTATAACAATAACCGTTCAAAAGATACGAGGGGGGGGAACGGACTTTTGACTAGCACTGTATATGACGTTAAACAATACCTGTAATTAAATTCCTAATAATTACATACTCACTAATTTTTCTAGAGATGATCTCTAAGAGATATTCTTTTTATCCTGTGGTCAAACTCATTAAATAGGAATTGCATAGTCTAAATCACAGAAATATTGGTTTCCTGTTGGTGCCATCTCATACTGGAATCATGAGAAACGATATGGTAGATAAATATGCACGAGAAGTCTTAGAGGACGCAACTATTGAGATCTATCCAATAACTTCAGCGAGAGATATCAAATTATATTTCCACAGCAAAATAGTTGACACATGTAAACAAGCAAAATCAACAAGCGGTACAAAAAAAAACAAGCGAAAGTACTTACTACACATGGACATCTGATGATGATTTAAAAGAACTATTCTTAAAGTGCGGTGCCAAAATCTTTATTCAATATTTGACAGCAATAAACATTTTTTAGAAAATTTAATTGTTGTATTATTCTATGGATGCTGTTATTTTTCTCTTTTTGCTAATAGTAATAAAGGCTAATGCAAGTTTGTAAATAATAAAAAAATAGTTAGTTTTTTTTAGTGAAGATTAAAGATCAGTTCTCTTTAATAATAATTGTTTTGCTTAATTGATGTTTTTTTTTCAATTATTATTGTTTAATTTAAATGATGTTATTAAATATTTTATTTAGCTCAGCAGATTTGTTCTTACTTTCTATGTTAAGTAAATATTTCCATCAAATAACAACACATATAAATACACTCATCCATAATCTTATTAACAAACAACATCTAATTAACCAAATAATATACAAAAGTATGGTCTTATAAAAGGGTATAGAGCTCTACATAATTATACACTTAAATACACCATACCTGAATTTTCTCTTCCAAATCGGCTAGCCTATCGCGTAGATTATCATTTTCTTTTTCTGCACTTTCTGTACGAATTGTAAGGTTTTCAATATCGACGAAGTGCTTTTCAAATATATCCATTTCATCAAAAAGAGTTTCGCATGCGTTAACGTTCACACCAATATTCTAAAAAACATAAAAGTTTTAGAATTAAGCCGAAGATTTAAATAGTAAAAATTAGAAAAAAAAACATATACAAACTTTAAATTAATAAACTGAACAAAATGTAGTTAACCAATACTATAAAATACTTAAAATATTGTTTTACCTTTTTAATCATTGCCAAATCAAATCCAGCCTGTTCTAGTTCTGCCTGTAAATAAACTCTTTTCTGAATAGACTCAGCCGTATTTAAAAGTGAATTTAGAAATTTCAGCCCTGATGTTAGCAGTTCTGTATGATGGCTTCCTGCTGAACTCAGCATTCCAACAAGAAATCTAAACCGGACGGGTTCACCAAATCTTAATCGAAGAGTGGACATGGCCTCAGATACAGCAGAATGACAATTTGTTGGAGGTTCGCACGCTTTACTAAGTAACTGAAAAATTTAAAAACTATTAGTATATTAATAATTTATGTTAATCAAGAAAATATATTGGAGTTTAGACCTGAATGAGCTACCGAAAGGCGTGTTTTTTTGGTGTCAATTTGGTCTCAACAGATTTGGAAATTTTATGCAGTAATTATCAACAGTTTTTAGGTGGAGATATCCAGGGGTGGCTAGTATACCTGTTGAATACAAAGCACGTGGTGTTCGCGTGTATTAAGGTATAAAAAAAGCGCTTATAAAAAGCTTAAAATTTTTATTTTAAAGAAGATCTTTTCGGAATTGTATCATTCCATCATCAGTTTAATAAAAAGTTGTTGAAAAAAACATTGTATGATACATAAAAAACATTCGATGGACATCTGGATTTAAAAAGTAATCTTCATGTTATTTATTAAGGTAAATGCAATAGACTCTTAAATTGTGTATTAATAAAAAATGAAAATGGGGGCATCTTATATGACCCCCTGTAGCTGGTGAGGTTTTATCGGCTTACATTACCTCTGATCTGTGTTGGAGTCTAGGACACACTAAATGGGAGGGGAGGGAGGGATAATAATGATTATCCCTCCAGATACTGACAAAGAATGTAGCGTAGAATCTTTTAAGTAATTTTAAACTGTTTGTCCTCGTTTTAGTGTAGTGTTTTGTACAATTTTATGTCATTATTAATGTTTCCACATTCTACGCTTGCCGGATAGTTTATATTTGACGAAATGCCCCTGAAGATGCTATTTTAAGCGAAAGTACTTGGGCTAGATTTAATTAACTTGTGCTCGATAATAGCCTTATTTTTCAAAGTTTATTTATTCGAGCATTCAACCTCATTTCAATTAAAAATGAAAAAGTACAACGACAAGGATAATCTAATGACGAAACAAGCATGAAATAGGATTTTGATTGGACAGTAAGAGGAGCATTTGAAACAGGCACATTGTACACTTAGCGGATACCCTAGAGAAGAATGATGTAGATATTGCAGCTACACCAAAAACCAAAAAAACCAAACAAAAAGAAATTTTCCGCACAAAGATTAAGAACTACATATTATTTAACGATGAAGACATTTGTAGTAGGGTTTTTTGTTAAAAAACGAAAATTGTAGAATTTGAGTCAATAACAAGCAAATTATGTCAGTTAAGAATGAGAAGAAAGTACAGAAGAAAAACATTTATATATATATATATATATATATATATATATATATATATATACATATATATATATATATATATATATATATATATATATATATATATATATATATATATATATAACGGAGCTTTGAGGTTTATTGGGATTTATTCAGCGGTGAAATAAGTGTACTCTTTTAACTAAGTTTCAAGCTTTCGAAAATGTTTATTTTCATCATCAGGAAAAAACTGAAAATAAAGTGCGACTGTTAGTAAAGCATCCTCGAAATTAGTTGTAGTGAATGGTTGTAAAAATCGAGAAAAAAACTTACGTTAGTGAGGTTCGTCTTTCGTGGATGTTTCACTTACAGGTGACAATTTTACGCACCACTCATTGATTGAGTCAAAATTTAAAATATATATAAAAATTGCATGGTGTAAAAGACCAAACTTAATAAATTATTATACTTTAACACATGAGAAAAAGACAGTTAAAAAGTTTTCAACGGCCACGTGTGCCGGCCAACTGTTGAATGATAGGTTAAGAGTAACTGTCATTCCTGGACATGGCAAATGACAGTACTTCTTCTTATTTCTTTGTCTTATGTAGTACTACTATTATTACACATCAAATTTTAACAAAGGTTGTATAAGAAAAACAAAATTTTATAATGAAACTGTGAAAAAACAACGAAACCTGGAAACTTTACAATGAATCAGTCGTTGAAACATCATTGAATTGTGATGATCCATCCAAATATAATAGGTAGGAGTAAATAGTGCTCAATTGATTAATGTCACTCCTTTTGTTCATTGCGTTTGAGTTTTGTGCAATGAATGCCATTTCTAAAAAAAGTCTTTTATTGTAATTGGACTCAGTAGCTAAAATTTTGACTGAATCGTAATTCATAATATGATGTTCTTTATTTACATGTTCTGCAAGTGCAGATCTTTCTGGATATAGTCTGCTATCGCTACGATGACTGATTAGGCGACTGCCTAGGTTACGTTAGGTTTGTCCCACATATACTAAATTACAGTTATTACAAGGGATCTGGTAAACAACGTTGGAACAATCTTTGATGTTACTTTTATCTTTAACCTTAGAATAGATGGATCTTACAGTTAATGAAGTTTTATACGCTATTTTTAAATTGGTGACATCTTTAAAAAGTCTTGTCAGTCTGGGTGTTATGCTTTTTATGTATTTCAGTGAAGTATATGAGCAATTGGTATTGTGTTCTCCATTTGTGACATTGATTTGTATCTCATCATTTCGGCGTGCTATGTTCGGGGTCAAACTAAATAGAATCTTGGTGACTAAGGGTTTTGGATATGAATTGTCCATGAAAAGGTTGAACAGGATTCTCAGGTTCTTCTGATGGAAAGAAGGGTCACTGATGGATATAATTCTAGCCTTCATTTGTTTAAGTAGGTTGATTTTGATTGAATGTCTATGGTATGACCAATAGTTGAGGAAGCGTCCAGAACTATGAGGTTTTCTATGCCAGTCGATAACAAGGGAGTTATTTGGGGTTCTAATGAACCGGGTGTCAAGGAAGGGGACTGAGCATAGATCGTCCTCATGTTCGATTGTGAACTGTAGTAGAGGATCATACCTATTGAATACATTTACGATTTCTGTGGATCCATTGCTGGGGATAGCTAGGATTAAGTCATCCACATACTTTTTAACAGAAGGAATATGAAAGGACAATTCTGGGATAACCATATCTAGTAGATGATCCATCACATAACAGGCCAAAATGGGAGAGATAGTAGCTCCCATAGGAGTTCCTTGTGTTTGTTTAAACACAGTATTGTTGAATGTGAAATAGGTGTTATTAAACAGAAAAGAGATGAGTTTTTTTAAGTACTCCAAGTTAATATTACAGTGAGAACTGATAAAATTCCAATTGTTTTCAATCGCTATTAAAGCTGCATCTAAGTGTACATTGGTGAATAATGAAACTACATCTAGACTGACAATCACATAGCCATCAGGTAATTGATAGTTGTTAAAGTTATTGAAAACATCAAACGAATTTTTTATGTAATATTCATTCGACACATACGCGTTGGATAAGATTTCAGTTAAAAAAGATGCTAATAAGTTGGTGGGGGCACCAATACATGCAACAATGGGACGAACTGCAAGCTGTGGTTTGTGAATTTTGGGCAAAGCGTAAAATTTTGGTATAACACCCTTGTAGCTAGTTAGTTTTTTCTTTGTAGCTTCATCTATCTGCCTTGAGTTACACAATTCCTTAATAAGGTTGTTACATCTGGTTTGAACATTGTTGGTTGGATCTCTGTTCAACCTTTCATAAACATTATCGGAATTTAGCAATTCAAGACATAGATCTAGATATCTCTGCTTTTCCAGAACTACAGTTACATTACATTTATCTGAAGGCATGACAATGATGTTAGTGTTTTCACTAAGAAACTTGCGAGTTTTTTGTAACATAGCTCTGAAAAAGTTAAAGTTATTTTTGTTACTGTTTTTATGTAAGTAATCAGTAATAATGTATGTTGACCTAGCTATAAGTATGTCCCTCTGATGCACATCAGTGACAAAATGTAAGATTGTTTCAACGTCAGCTAACATATCCTTAATAGGGATATCTTTCCCTAAGATAGGTTCTATGCTGAACTTAGGACCCAAAGACAAAAATCTAGAGATATCATCTGGTAAAGTTACATTAGAGAGGTTCTTAATCCAACCCGGTTTTGTCTTTAGTTTTAAGTTCAGCTCAAGATTGAATACCCTATTATATTTGTTAGTGTTACTTAATTTGGTTTTGTGAAAAATTCTGTTATATGACACTTGTTGTTTACTAGAAAAGTTATTAAAAATGAATTCAGAAGTTAGTTCAATGATGTTTCTTTTTGATTTAGTTAAGTTGGACTCTAAACTGTTAATGACTTTAATACAATTAGAAATTGCTAAGTTCAAGATTCTGTTTTCTAACCTGGTAAATTGTAAAGTGTCCTTGTTCTACTGGATGTCCTGTCTTTGCAACAATTTGGTGATGGATGACGTGGGACAAACCACACGTAACCTAGGCAGTCGCCTAATTAGTCATCGTAGCGACAGCAGACTATATCCAGAAAGATCTGCACTTGCAGAACATGTAAATAAAGAACATCATAGTATGAATTACCATTCAGTCAAAATTTTAGCTACTGAGTCCAATTACAATAAAAGACTTTTTTTAGAAATGGCATTCATTGCACAAAACTCAAACGCAGTGAACAAAAGGAGTGACATTAATCAATTGAGCATTATTTACTCCTACCTATTATATTTGGATGGATCATCACAATTCAATGATGTTTCAACGACTGATTCATTGTAAAGTTTCCAGGTTTCGTTGTTTTTTCACAGTTTCATTATAAAATTCTGTTTTTCTAATACAACCTTTGTTAAAATTTGATGTGTAATAATAGTATTACTACATAAGACAAAGAAATAAGAAGAGGTACTGTCATTTGCCATGCCCAGGAATGACAGTTACTCTTAACCTATCATTCAACAGTTGGCCGGCACACGTGGCCGTTGAAAACTTTTTAACTGTCTTTTTCTTATGTGTTAAAGTATAATAATTTATTAAGTTTGGTCTTTTACACCATGCAATTTTTATATATTTTAAATTTTGACTCAATCAATGAGTGGTGCGTAAAATTGTCACCTGTAAGTGAAACATCCACGAAAGACGAACCTCACTAACGTAAGTTTTTTTTTCTCTAGATTTTTACAACCATTCAATACAACTAATTTCGAGGATGCTTTACTAACAGTCGCACTTTATTTTCAGTTTTTTCCTGATGATGAAAATAAACATTTTCGAAAGC